TAAAACATTTTAAATTTAATGATAATTTTAGCTTATTGAGAGGCAACTTATATGATATTGCAACATATTTACAAAATACATATTTTATTTCTGTAATGTAGGCTACTTTTACCCTACAGAACAAAATATAGTTCATAATATAATATGAAAAATATTAAAAAGAAGATTATCATTTGAAGACAAAGCTATGAAAACCTTGTTAAATATGTTGTTATTCTTTAAAATTTAAAATACTATGCAAAAAAATGTGTAATACAGTAGCACTTATCAGCTTTAAAATACATCTTTCAGCTAATTAATTCAACAAATAGTTAAATAATATTTGTTATGTGTTAAGTACTATACTAGATGATGAGGAAATCATGGCGAACAAAGCTGACAAAGCTTTATCTTTATGGGGCTCACATGCTAAAGTGTGTGGCAGAAATACTGAAGAAGGGAAATGATGAAGGGGAGAAAGAAAATAAAGAAGTATATCATTTGTTACAGGTACAGGGGAGAGAGGGATAAGAATGATATTTGAGCAGACTTAAAGAAAATGGGAGAGAACTCTTTGAGGCAGAGGGAGCAAAATGTGGAGGCAGGAACTTGCTTGGCAGTTCCAACGGAGTGAACAGCAGGAGAAATGGTACAGGAGGCGGTTGTACCTTCCGTGTTTCCAGTTGTTTTGAGCAGATTTTGACCCATATATGTCAGAGTAGCATAGTGGTTATGAATCAGGCTGCAGACTGCAAGGTCAGCAGTCGACACTATCAGCTGTTCCGCAGGAGAAACATGAGGCTTTCTGCTCCTGTAAAGAGTTACAGCCTCGGAAACCCTGTATAGGATCGCTATGAGTCGGAACCAACTCCACGGCACATAACTACCACCACCATGTCAGAGTACATCTGTGCTCCAAAGGGTTTTCAATGGCTGTTTTTTGTTTTGTTTTGTTTGGAAATAGATCACAAGTCATTTCTTCTGAGGTGTCTGGGTGAACTTGAAGCTCTAGCATTTCAGTTAGCTGCCCAGCATGTTAATCCACACCACCCAGGGACTCCTTATACATGAGTGTGTGTGTGTGTCTAAAAGCCATCTCAAAGTTGATTTAGACTCACAGAATAGAACTGCTCTATAGTATTTACAAGGCTTGCAATCTTTATGGAAGCAGCTGATAGTTTAAAAACACAAAATTTTAATTAACAGTCAAGTGCTTTGGGGTGCTATTCACAAGGGAACTCAACAGCCACTTTAAGAATGTTGGTTTAGAAGGCAGGAGAAGTCATCGGAAGTCTGTGAGCATAAAGCTGACATAATCAAATTAATGTTTAAACATAATCACCATGACTGTTGCATTGTGAAAAGACTATTAGGGGCATTAAGCTATCAAATAATAAGCATATTTCATTTAAAAAGGTTAGAGATGGTGGTCCACAATGGATGTGGCCAGTCATTGGTTTCTGATTATATTTCAAAAGAAGCCTGAATGGAATTTGCTGATACATTAGGTATAAAATGAAAAAGCAATGAAAGGAGTCATAAGAGACTAGGTTTTTGACCGGAGCCTCTGAATGCTTCTAATTATCAATAAGTAAGATGGAGATTGAATCCTGGTGTGGCACTATAGGATCAGCACTGGACTGCAAACCACAAGGTCGATAGTTTAAATCCACTAGCTGCTCTTTGAAAAACCCTATATCTGGTCGCTTTGAGTCAGAACCAACTCAATGGAATTTAACAACAACAACGGGATGGGGATCACAAAGCGAGGTGGTTTGAAACAATTAAAAATATATGGAGACCATCACTATAAAAGGACGTATATTTAAAAAACGCATTACGAATCCAATCATGGTTTTAATTTTCTTTACTGAATACAAGAAATACTTTTGAAAAAAAAAAATTGAATGTTAGTCCTTGTTACCTGACTTTTAGTGTTTTGCGCCATTTCTAATTAGTTAGATATCCAAAATGCATGTGTTTTTACCAACTGAAAATTATTCAGTCATGAAACATGCAGTTTGAATTTGTCCTGTCTTTTTGCTATGACCATAATGAACTTTCAAATATATAAAATGCTGCTGAAAGATGTAATTAAATTCAGTTTCAGTAGAGTAGCTATCTATCTATTTTTCAGTTGGCCATGATCATTTTCTAGATATAAGCATTTTGATTGATAAATTCATAATAATAATTGTACAAGTGGAACAAATTGTACAAAATAATTCTTGAAACTAAGCATATTGAGTGTATGAGAGAATACTATGCAGGGATATTTTACCTTCTTTCAGTCAAAAGAAGAGGAGAAAAGCAAACACAGTGAAAAAGTAATTGGTACTCAGGGCTCGGTTGAATTGAGACTTCACTATCAATTTAAAATAAGGAGTCTCATCTCTTGAGAGTCAAAATTTCCTTTACGAGGACACTGTAAGCTGTAAATGCTCACCTGAAAAAACTGCCCTGCCATTCACATTACAGCTTACAATTTTAGAAGATTCAGCAGGTTTCAAAAACCCAGAGTAGTGGTTGACTATACTTTAAGATGATCAAACCAATTAGTTTCTTGAAGGAATTCTCCAGGATATAGGGTAGCACAGACCTTTTTCTGTTATACATAGTAGAGTTACTATGATTTGAAACCAACTCCAGGGCAACAACAAGAATTCTACCATATATATGGTAGACTATATATGTGGTATATATATATATATTTGTTGTTGTTGTTGTTAAGTGCCATCGAGTCGGTTCCGACCCATAGCGACCCTGTACAGGGTTTCCGAGGGTGTAAATCTTTACGGGAGTAGAAAGCCTGATCTTTCTCCCGCAGAGCAGCTGGTAGTTTCGAACCACTGACCTTAAGGTTCGCAGCCCGCTTCGTAACCACTACGCTACCAGAGCTCCTTATATATATATATATATACACACACACACACATATAAATATATACCATAAATGTATACGTTTGGAAAAAGATATTTGCACATGGGTAACCAAGACAGGAAGTGGGACAACTTTCGTTGCATGGAGGGGACTGCAATCATTGAGATAAAACAAAGTGTATGCTTTTTTTTTTTTTAATGTAAAAGTATGCTATTGTTTGTAAACCTTCACTCAATAAGAGTTTGTTTTTTGTTTTTGTTTTTTTAAAGAATTTTCCCTTAGAGTTGTATCAGTATAAAGTCATAAAAATAAATGATGATAATTGGGAAATGTATACAGGATTTTATTGTTCTTCACAAAGTGTCCTCCTTTTCATTATAGAGCAGTCTGTGTGTGACTTGGGGTGGGGAGGGAGGGAAGGAATGGGTAGAGTTTTGTGTATGTAGCCCAACTGATTATTGTTGTTGTTAAGTGTTGTAGAGTCGTTTTCAATTCATAGTGACACTGTAAAGCATTTCCAAGGAGCAAACCTCAGGGTTTACAGTCCAATACATATCGTACAGCACCATACCAGGAATTCAACTAGCTAATTGTCGCTGAAATTTTCTTAAGAACAGATGAGGACCAAAGATAAGGTATCTTCTGCATGTCAGTTCTTTCATGATATTTTAAAATTCTTCATAGTTGCTAAATAAATTTATGCACTGGAGTGCTGATAGTGCAGTCATTAAAGAGCTTGGTTGTGAACACAAATGTCGGTGGTTGGAACCCACCAACCATTCCATGAGAAGAAGATATAGCAGTCGGCTTCTATAAAGATTTACAGTCTTGGAAACCATATGAGTTGGAATCAACACGATGCTAATGGGTAGTACAACTTTATGGGCAAACACATTTACAAATAAATCCTGTCAAATACAGAAACCTAATGGTGCAAACTCACTGGTAAATTTTTCTATCTTTTCATATCTTTGCTCTTGTATTTTTAACACAGAGGATTTTAAGATGGAAGAAGAACATATGATACTAGCCTTATTACAGCTATGATTCTTGGGTCATAACTTATTTCAAATGGTATCTAGCAATTTAATTAAAGTAAAAGTTAAATGGATGCATATTGAATTCTTTCCTCTGGTAATGAAACACTTATATAATGTAGTATTATCAGTGAAATTCTTAGAGTACTTCATTCCTTTTTTATATATCGCAAATAAAATGACAATTGTGATCTAACTTAATTTTCAAATGCAAAAGAGTTAAAAATTAGGGCTTAATCTTTACCCCTTTCATGCATGAGTGCAGAAGAAAGATAAAGCCCTCTATTCCCATAAAGATTTATAGCCTCAGAAGCCTTATACAGAGTTGCTCTGAATTGGAACCAACTGGATGGCACACAGCAAGAAACAACACCAGTAGTAGCTGGTCAGTTTCTGGAGTGAAAAGAACAGGGATCATAGAGTGAAGGTGAGATAGAGATTATAGTTAAGGGTTGAGTTTCTAGTACCAACTCTGGTATCAAAATGAATCTTTCAAATCAAAGTATGTACAAGTGACTTGAACTAGCTAGAGTATCCCTTATAATGATTTAATTGTTGTAGCTTAGCTTGCTTCATTCAATGCCTCATTAGCTTCTGACTTAATGTGATTTAAATTGAATTTTCTAATTTTCCTTCTCTTTCTGTTTTTTTGTTTGTTTAGATGTGATACTTTCATAAGGACTCTATATGTTCAATATCAAGTTTAACTGTTTTCCTGGTACAAAGCTTGGAATCTATTTGTATGATGAATTCACTGTTCAGAAATAATACGTAGACCGGTTGTTGATGTGTAAATCCAATATGTTTCCATGAAAGTTCAATAGAAACAAGAGATATTTAAAAAATTGATAATATTTAAGAATGAAAGTGTTTTATAAGGCATTTTATATTATTGTTCTTTCAATCACTATGACGAGATAAAATAAAAATGACTCCCTAGTTGATCCTATGAGATGAAAGAAATCATTATATAAAAAAAAAAAAAAAAACCCACACAATTCATTTTTCAAGTTGTTGTAATGTTTAATAACAGTTTGCTGTTATTTATACCATTTTATGTGCTTCTTTATCAGATACAAATTCCAGTAGGGAAATAAGCAAACATTCCTAAAAATGAATTATAAACAACTGTGTCTTAGAATACTAAAAGGATTTTAAAACTTTCAGTTAAGCAAAGTTAATATTTTCCCCTAATTGAAATAATGGAAAACAAAAGTGTAGACACTTCCATGGCTTGGGGGAAAATGTCTTCGGAATTCATGCCCCCAAGGTCATGTTCCTTAGCAGCCATTGTTGGGATCTGCTTCCACTACAATCCTGCATGGTAGGCACCATTTTGTCTTCTTCTGAAGGTTCATCGAGGCATTGGTTACTGTTAACATGTCTCAAGGTGAGTCTCTGTAAAAGAGAACCAATAATCAGTGCATCCAAGTTTATCATAAATTTGTTATTACACCAGATAAAGTCCACACTAAAAATTCCTTCATACTATTTTACTGTAATACAAGGTGATAAGGTCCCAAAAGAAACTGCACAGGTTGCTTTGAATTAATTGTTATACAACTTTGACTGATATAGTTTCATCATTGTCTAATATACCTTTATTTGCAGATGGTTAAAGAAATTGGCTGACATTTGTTATTGTTGTTGTTAAATGCTGTCGAGTCGCTATGATACATAGCGACCCTGTATAGGGTTTCCAAGGGGTATCTGGTGAGCTTGAACCAACGACCTTGCAGTTCAAATGACTTTGCAGTCTGACACATAAGCCAGGTCTTTGAGGTCTATGCCACACCAGGACACCAACATTATTATTAGCTGCCAAGAATTCAGACTCCTTTACAAAAAAAAAAAGCCATTTGTGTGCTTTGAATTGAATTGAGGTCTGCAAATATGAACAAGCTTACTAAGTAGATTGTTTTCTTAGGCATGTGTTATTTAGTAACCATTTACTAAACACTCAAATGGATGTCACAGCTGTGACCCATATACAGAAAACTGCTAGTAATGTTTTTATTTCTAGATGCTCAACAAACCATAGTATCTGTGATTTTGAGACACTCGTTGTATAAGACTGATTATCAGAGCAACAAATAATGTGTATTACTTGATGTTATGTTCACTATATTTTGGTTTATATTTTAAAGAATCTTTGAAAATACATCATTATCAGATAAAAACAGGCATGTGCTGGTCATTCAATTTAAGTATTATATTTATATTTTCTTTTATTTATAATAATAACCATTAACAAGCATCTTTTCTGCATTCAAATGTTGAGATGAAATTCCAGTAATTGAATCATGCTAGTCAAACACTGGAGTCTTGGTGTGGTGCTGTAGGATAAGTTATTGTTGGTGTTGTTAGGTGCCATAAAGTTGGTACCGACTCATAGCGACCCCATGCACAACAGAGCGAAACACTGCCCGATCCTGAGCCAACCTCACAATTGTTGCCACGCTTGAGCCCATTCATGCTGCCACTTTGCCAATCCATCTCGCTGGGGGTCTTCCTCTTTTTCTCTGACCCTCCACCTTACCAAACAATTAAATCATTGTAAGAGATACTCTAGCTTCTCCAGCGACTGGTCCCTCCTAACAATATTTCTGAAGTATGAGAGACGAAGTTTGGCCATCCTGGCCTCCATGGAACACTCTGGCTGCACGTCTTCCAACACAGGTCTGTTTGTTCATTAGGCAACCCATGGCAATTTCAATATTCTCCTCCATCACCGTAACTCAAAAGCATCAATGCTTCTACGGTCTTCCTTATTCACTGTCCAGCTTTCACATGCATATGAGGTTATTGAAAATACCATGGCTTGGGTCAGGCGCACCTTAGTCCTCAAGCTGACATCTTTGCTCTTCAACACTTTAAAAAGGTCTTGTGCAGCAGATTTGCCTAATGAAATATGTCATTTGATTTCTTGACTGCTGCTTCCATGAGTGCTGATAGTTGATCCAAGAAGAATGAAGTCCTTGACAACATCAATCTTTTCTCCGTTGAGAATGTTGTTTATTGGTCCAGTGGTGAGGATTTTTGTTTTCTTGACATTGAGATGCAATCCATACCGAAGGCTGAGCTCTTTGATCTTCATTAGTAAATATATTAAATCCTCTTCACTTTCAGCAAGCAATGTTGTATCATCTGCATATTGCACGTTGTTAATGAGTCTTCCTCCAATCTTGATGCCATGTTTTTCTTCATAGAACCCAGCTTCTCATATTATTTGCTCTGCATACAGGTTGAATAAGTATGGTGAAAGATTACAACCCTGTCACACACCTTTCTTAATTTTGATCATCTCAGAGTTGGCAGTTTAAATCTACCAGCTGCTTTGTGCAAATGCGACACAGGTCACTGTGAGTGCAAATGGCTTTGTGCAAATGACTCAATGGCACTTAACAAAAACAAGCAAACATTATATATCCTCTCTTTTAAGTTCTCCCCTACATTTCTTTTTCTTAAATGTTTTACTGTGAATTATGTGATAGGTTACATGGGAGAACATTAGTTTTACATTCATTCTATTGTATATCGTCTCACTGCCATGGTTACAATCCCCTCCATGCAATCCTTCCCCTGTACCCTCCCAGGTCTTCAGCACACAGTCGCTCTCCCTCTCTGGATCTAAAGTCTCCAGCTGCT